GGGGGCCTGATGTTGAAGGGCCAGACTGGAGAGGGCCTGATGTTGGAGGCCTGAACTTTGAAGGCAAAGGCCTGGTTGATGCACATGCATCTATACCTCCAAGGATCCCTTCCAATGCTTCAGGCCCCAGGATGGCCAAAACTTTCTCTTCCTCTGTAGTGAGAGGAAGAACTGAATCGATACCCCCACCAGTCTTGTTTGCTTCCCTCTTACATGCCGCAGCCCTCCATTTTGTCACACTTGCGAAGTCCCTCCACTTATTCCTGATTTCTTCTGGGCTTCGTTCGTACCCATAGCCAGCAGCATTTATTTTTTGAGTGATTTCTGCCCAGATTTTCTTTTTGTCAGCATTTGTAATGCTGTTTTTCAGCTTTGAAAATAGCTGGATTTTATTATTTTCCACCTCCTCCAAAAGAACTGCAATTTCATGCTTTGAAAATTGGGGTTTTCGTGTCATTTTCATTAACACATGGCTGAATGGCAAGGGGACTTAAATAGGAAAAATTATTGAGCAAAATAAGCCACAGGTGTCCACAAGAGTACATCACAGTTTTTTAAAAACCCATCTTTTTTCAATTGTGCTTAAGTAGCCTATCAATATTAAATAAGAAACGGTATTTATATGAAATTGTGAAATTATAGACAATGGGATCAGAAAAGAGCACATTTTTAACTCTGTGTGTGTATGTATATAATTTATTGCATAACAAATTAATGTTGCGTTATTAGCTACTCCACTCCTACCTAACGTCATTTCAAAAGCGTAATTCGAGTCAAAGAAAAGAGAAAATAAAACCAAATAGGTGGCGGTATATGCTCATGGCACTAGTCGGCTATTAGATCGAAGAAGAAGAAGAACAACGTCATAACGACAGCTGAAATCAACGTGGTTTAAACGATGGATCTGCTACACAGGTACCATGGTTTCGGGAAACAGTCGTGACTAGCTAGTTCGTTTCCACAACGATGCATCGTACTATGGTGGTTAATCAGCGAGTTACGTAGTTGCACGGGAAACGCACCCCAGGTTGTTTGATGAGAAAAAGATTAAATGTAGTTGCAATAAAACAGTTTAAAACTGCAGCAGCAGAGGATTAGTATTCTGCCGCGCGGAACTGCGGAAGAACTGATGATGATAGCACACTTTGATCTTTTTTTTTGTTGTCTGACCAATCAGCAGAAAGGGGCGTTTAATTCCCGCCCATGTGTAGAAATCGAATATTCAAGCTGTTTATTAATTTTTCTACCCCCTGAACGAAAAAAGGAAAAATTAAGCCGAATTCTTGTTTTTCGTTTTTTGCAAAAAATCTCTTTTCATGTGATTGTACTGGAGTGGTAACAGATAAGAAAATGTTTAACTGCATAGGAGTTCATTTAAATTTATTTCTGTTTATTATTTATTATTGTTTCTGTCAAATAAAAAAAATCTACATATTGTATCTCTGGGTTTATATAAGTACATACATAAACAGTCATTAGGTATAAACAAAGCAACTGCATTGTATAGCTTATAGATATCAAACCCGTGGTAAGAATGCCATGGTAAGGGTTGCTCAATTCAACCAGACGTATACATGAATAAAACTATTCTGTCTAAACTTCGATTTAAAAGCAGCAGTGCATTAGACTACGGATCTGGACTCGTAAATCAACAGTTATTCAAGTATATCATTAATATTGTAAAGAGGACAGAGTGTGGGTTATCTGTGCACTCTCTGTATTGCTTTGTTGAAGATTTGAAACATATATTGATGTTTCACTGGTTCAACACTTGGTTTGCTATGACCACAGATTGTTTGAGGTTTAACTTGAGGCTGTTTAAAATCTGATGCTTTTATACCAAAAAACAAAGAGAGGTGGGGATAAAACAATGGGTGCTAGTAAACAGTCAAAAGTAATATTTTTGTAATCCAGCGTTATATTATTCAAGCTTTGCAATAAGCCCGTTTGACTAGGAAGGGAAAAACACAAGGCTGAATAGACTTTATACTGAATTTAACATGAATGAAAACAAGGCAGTGAGAGATAAGACTTAGTCTTTGTAATGGCACTGTATAAAGGTTCTAGATCACATAATTTTCATAATTTTCAAACCTGTTTTATGGATTTTTTTTTCCCCCAGAAAGACTTTTTGTCAGCTGAACGATCGCTGTTGTTAAAGAACAGTACAATACGTTGAACACACTATTTCTATCCTTAGCCATTTTCATTCATGTCAAAAATGAAATATATCGCTTCCCTGACTAAGGTCTAATGGCTTTAAATCCTAGGAAATAAACTGGTAAACACTAAAACTATTTAGGTTTAAGAAAATAAATCTGCTCGCTTTTAAAGTTTGGTTTCCTTATGCATAGCTCATTAGCAATAACTCAACCATTCCTGTCGGATATTGATGCTCATACTCTTAATTGAATGGTGTTTGAACGATTTTAAAGCTCATCTCTGATTTTATTGTTGAAAATGTTGTTGATCAATGTTTTAACCTAAATTAGGATTGTTACAAAATAAGATGGAAGATAAGCTACAACAAAATGAGCCAGAACACTACTAGCAGTAGGAAATCTATTTGTTTCTATTGTGCATCTTCCATTTTATTTGCCGCAGAAAAACAAGCCTGGGAATTAGGAATTATAAAGTACATTTCTTCTAATTAATTCATGACGCAAGAACAACTGGTTGAAACACATGATATATACAGTACAAGTTTCTAGTATGTTAAAGCCGAAGGGCAAAAAGTGCAGGGTTACAAGGTTAGTGGGGAGTTCCAGAGCCTTGGCTATTTTCCTGCACCTCAAAACCCTGAGCTACTCGTTCATCCTTCACTAAAATCACAGTGCATTAAATATAATGGACTCTGAAAACTGAAGTTTATAGGTAATGCAGTTTTAGATATCATAAGTCTCTATTTTATATGAAAACATACTCTATGCACTTTCGTTTATTTTCTAAGCAAAATTTATACTGTAAATTACTCTTGATGTGCCACAATGTCAAGTCTCTGATCAGCCAGATTAATGCATTTCACAAAGTCTGATATATGGAAAGACTGCAGGACAGAAAAACAAAATCAAATTCAAAACATTAGCCAAGGTTTTGTATACCTGCTGATGCGCAATTTCTTGAAAGCTAATAAATACAATACCAGAACCAATACCAGAACCCTCGAAAAAGACCTTCTGTAATGTTAGAGACAGTAGTAACATTTGCACAATGTAGCAAAAATAAAATCCACAAAATGTTTCAAACAGAACAAAATATGAGCATTAGGCATGAGCAGGCATTTAACTGGTTCACAAATCCGAGATTCAAACTAAAGACAAAGACTTGTGGCAAGCGGGATACTTCTGGAAGAGGGTTATTCCATATCGACCGAGTCCAGGTTGTTGAGTTCTCGCACAAGTGAAGGAGAAAACAAAATGTGCTTGTACAGAAGATATTATTTTCCCAACGGTCAGAGAGTCTCTTGTCAGAAGGATGTGTCTGTCTATCAAATAAGCATTCATACCCTACTTGAGTTGCAGCACATCTTAAGTCTGTGATGAGTTGTGAACAAGTGTGTCATTCAGGGGTTATTTCTCCACTTGAGACTGTTTATTGATGAGAATGTTTTTTTGTTTGTTTTGTCACTGTGATGTAGTTTCACTGATTTCCAGGCCATGCTGTTGTAGTTGAGCTCTGAGCAGTGCATTGTCATTCTTCAGGTCTTCAATCTGCAGGACAATGGACAATCAACATATTACCATGTGCCCAATCGGACTTGGTCAGTAAAATACCAAAGATCTCATAAATGTACCACTTAGGATTTAATTTATTTTATTAACCACTTAGGATACATTACTTGAGGCATTTTTTTAAGGCGATCATACAATATCACAAATTGTCATCCATGTTTTAATTGAAACTGTAAACCTCTTTTGCAGCACTTTATTTGCCAAAAACGGAAAGGAACTGTTGAAATGTCATTTGATTACATTTTAAAAGATTGGTTACACTGTTAAAGATGTAAGCACTCATTTGATTACTACTGTTTTTGACCAAAACTAAATAACCAAACAAACAAAATTAGAACCCAGAAAAACTGAAACAGAATTTCTGGAAAAATAAAACACTATTCATAAACTATTGTTACATTTTAATACAGTATTATATTATAATTTTATAGTTTTATAAACGCAACTGATTAAAATCCTTTTTGATTATTAAAATTTAACTCATCCATTAAAAATAGAATACAGAAAAATTCTCTATATATATATATATACACACACACACACACACACACACACACACACTAGTATTCTGACTTTGAGACCCCTCTGTACATCCTACATAACTCCCACCAACAAAAATACCTGTTGTCTTAGTAGCTCATTGTCCACTTGTATTCTCTCCACCTCCTTGTAGCTCTCCTGCAGCCTCTGGTT